AAAAAAAAAAAAAAAAAGATCAACAAAATTGACAAATCTTTAGCCAAATTAACCAGTGGAAAAATACACAAATTAGCAAACACAAATGAAATAAGGGCTATCATTACCAATCCAACAGATATGAAAACAATGGGAGAATATTATTAACAACTTTATGCCAGCTAATTAGACAATTTAGGTGAAATGGAAAAATACCCAGAAAGACAAAATAACAAAACGGATTCAGTAAGAAAAAGAAAATTGGAACAGATCTACATAAAGTAATTAAGTTGTTTCAATAATTTAAAATCTTCCCACACAGAAAGTCCAAGCACAGATGGCTTACCTGGTGAATTCTATCAAATATTTAAAGAAGTAGTAAAGCCAATCCTTCACAAACTATTTCAGAAAACAGGAGAAAAGAACATGTTCCATTTCCCTTCTATAAGGCCAGTATTACCCTGCTACCAAAGCCAAATAAACACATTTCGAGAAAACAGTACTATAGAGCAGGATCTGTCATGAATACAGACCCAAAAAAATCCTGAAAGTATTAGCAAACAGAATCCAGTAACACACAAGAACAATTATTGTCCAATATGAAGATTTACACAGGAATGTTTAATATCCCCAAATCAATTAATGTAATATGCCACAATAATAGACTAATGGAAAAGTCACATGATCATCTCAAAAGACAGAGGAATAGCATTTGACATATATTCATGATAAAAACTTTCAAGAACCAGGAATAGAGTAACACTTCCTCAACCTAATAAATAGCTAGGAAAAATTTACAAACACCATACTTACTGGTAAAAGACTAGATGCTATTCCCCTATGATCAAAAAACAAGGATTTCTGCTCTCAACATATTTATTCAATAGTATACTAGGATCTAGCAAAATAAAGGGTAGAGGTTGTGGTGGGGGAAAGTATCCAGCTGGAAAGGAAGAAGTACATTTGTCTTTATTTGCAGATAAGATCCAGTGTAGACAATGCTTTGGAATTTATAAAAAATCTACTGGAATAAATGAGCTCAGCAAGTACACAGGACACAGATCAACAACAAAAAATCAACTTGTCTTTCTATATAGTTGCAACAAGGAATCAGAAAAGGAAATTAAAAGAAAAATTCCATTGAAAATAGCATCAAAAAGAATATAATGCCTAGAAAACAATTTAACAGGAGAGTAAGATCTGTACATTGAAAATTTCAAAACACTGCCAAGAGAAATTAAGGATCTAAATAAAGGGACAGGCATTTCACATTCATGGATTGAAAGACTCAATATTGTTAAAGTGGCCATTCTTCCCAAATGGGCCTAAGATTCTAGACAAGACCACCTCAAATTTCCAACAGGTGTTTTTGTAGAACATGATCCTAAAATTTATATGGAAAAACAAACTTTTGACTGAAGATAGCCAAAATAATGTTAAGTCACTGTTGGAAAACTCAGACTACCAAATATCAAAATTTAATTATAAACCTACTGCAATAAAGGTGGTGTAGTACTGATGTAATGAAAGACATAGATCAAAGAAACAGAATAGAAAGTCTAGAAATAAACCTCACATTTATGATCAATTCATTTCCACAAGGGTGCCAAGGCAACACAATAGGAAGAGTCCTGTCAGTAAACAGTTAAAAGATTAAAGAATGTGGCATCGCCATAAAATGGTATGTTCTTCTGCCATAAAAAGGAAGAAATTACTGATACATGAATGCTACAGCATTGATAAACTTCAGTAATATCATGCTAAATTAAAGAAGTCAGACACAAAGCTTGTATGATTTCATCTATAAGAAATTTCTAGAAAAGAAATTTCTAGAAAAGACCAACATCCTAGAGATAGAAAGCCAATCAGCGGTGGCCTGAGGCATGGGAGAGCAGCAGGGAATGAACACAAACAGGCATGAGGAAACTTTCTGAGCTGATGGAAATGTTCTAAAACTGGACTGTGGGGATGGCTGGACAACTGTGTAAAGGTACCAAGAATCACTGAAATGCACGCTTACAGTAGGTGAGTTTCATGCAACATAAAATTATACCTCAATGAAGCATTTTTTTTTTTTTTTTAAAAAGGAACAATCAGGAGTTCCCCATCCCAAAGGACACGAGTGGGGACAGAAGGAGTCCCTGTCAGGAGGCCAGAGTGGAAGTAACCTGACCTCACTTTTCATTCTAAGAGCTTGTGACCTTGTGACCCAAAGTGCTGGTTTATGTATTTGTTGTGGCTTTTCTCAGTTGCTACTCAGAGCCATAAAAAACACAGGCGACTGCCCCTCCAAATATTCCACTTGCAAACACTGAACATGGAATGTTCTCACCTTTCGTCCTGTAAAGGCAGCTCGATGAAGCGGCGTGTCTCCCATGTCATTCAATACATTCACTTCTGCACCAGCCTGAACAAACGTGAAAATGTTAGACATCTGCCACGTGTCAAGAAATATTAAATATTTCTTTTTCAAATATTTTTAAGTAATCTCTACACCCAACGTGGACAAACTTATAAACTTGAGATCAAGAGTTGCATGCTGAGCCAGCCAGTAGCCCCAAAAATATATTAAATACTTCAAAATTAAAATAATTGTTGATATTGATTGGTTGTCACCACTAAAATTCAATTTCATTCACAGTAAAACAATAAAGCTTCCTGAAAGGTAAAAGTCTACATGATAGGTAGAAGAGTAAAAAGTTTACTTTTCTTTAAAAATCTATAGACTTTCACTCTACTTTAGAAACCCAAATATTAAAAAACAACTGTCTGAATGAAACACGACATTTTGGGGGCACCTGGGTGGCTCAGTGGGTTAGGCATCTGTCTCTTGATTTCTGCTCATGTCGTGATCTCACATTTATGAGATCGAGCCCCTCGTCAGGCTCCGTGCATGGAGCCAGCTTGGGATCCTCTCTCTCCCTCTCTCTCTTCCCCTCTCCTGCTCATGCATGCATGCTCTCTCAAAATAAATAAATATTAAAGAAAATACCACATTTTCTCCACCAATTTAGTAAGTTCTCAGGAAGAAAAAGATACCACTATTTAAATGTACAGTTTACTAATTAAATTTGAAGACACAATTTCAGAAATACCAATATGTGAAAAAAATCAGAATTGAAAATTGTGAGGTCTTAAATCATATGGTGCTCATTAAGAGATTCTGACATTTTTTAATCATTTAAGCTGTGCTTTGGTTATTTTTTAACTGTTACATTAAAAAACAATAATAGTGTCTTCAAATTCATACAACCATTTTTGCAATTTTAAGAAGTCAGTAACAGAAAAATCAAATGACTAAGAAAACAGAATTTTAATCATCAGGCTAACCTAATTCATGTACTTAGCAAAGAACAATTAAGTGTGTTAGTGATGAGCTATTGTTTTAAATAAGCCACTATGGTTAGTTGGCTTTTCTAAGACTTTCATAATTTCTGTAACAGCAATATTTATTTTATTCATTTAAAAATTAGAGCCATAGGGGCACCTGGGTGGCTACGTTGGTTAAGTGTCCGACTCTCAATTTCAGCTCAGGTCATGATCTCAGACTGTGGGATGGAGCCGTGCATCAGGCTCTGCAGTGAGCACGAAGCCTGCTTAGGATTCTCTCTCCCCCTCTTCCTCTGCTCCTCCCCCACTTGTGCATGTGCTCACTCTCAAAAAAAAAAAAAAAAATTAGAGCCATATACATACCTTTAACAGATCCTGGACCACTTGTCTATGTCCAAAATAGCATGCCAGATGAAGAGGTGTCCACCCCAAATTAGACTTACTTCTTCCTAAAAGTGGAAAAATATAAGGCATTTTTAGATGTTATTTAGGTAATTTTATACTAAAATTTCTCTTTACCAAGGTACTCCCATACACTGGCCAATCTCCCCTTCATATTGCACTTCTGATAAATGAGAGACAAGAGACAGGACATAGTCAGAAGCCTAACAAGTGTAATAGATTAGAACCCACAAGCCCCAGATTCTGGTGCCACCTTCCTAACTAACTCAATGTCCTCATTCTTAAAAGGGTGGGGAGAGACACGATGGGGGTGGCATTCAAAGTAGATAATCTGTAGTTGGCTCCAAGGTTCTGAGTCTCTAACCATCTTACCATCATTTAACAAAGATGTGGTTCTCTTGGCACAGCATTTCATGAAAAGCACCTCTCTTTGAAAAACTGTGCCATGTCAGGAGGGTGAATGGAAATATGGAATTGATAAAGAATCTTTTCTGTAGCATTTGGAAAATTGTTAGCTCTGCAGATAGTGACATAAAATGGAGTCCTGACTCCAGATAAAATCTCAAGTAATGAGGATATGGGTTACCAGAGTGGTAGAGTTCTACTAGATAACAAGAACCAAAATTAAGAGCAATGAAATGTCGGATCCCTGCTGAGGAGAGGTACAGAAGAAGGGAGTGCGACAAAAACAATACAATTCAATTCAGGAAGAAAAGGCGGGGGGCACTGTAGCTTAGAGCAGCAATAGCTCCAAAAGGTTACCAAAATTTCCACTCAGGCTTAAGGGATTATAGCCTATCAAATTCCAAAGCCCAGCACTCGGGAGGGTCTACCAAAGCCCAGGAGTATGCTGTCGCCTGTGGGGCACTCCTCTGGAGGGGCTGAAGGTTTAATGGCTGCCCTTGCTTCCTGGATTTCAGGTTTTGAGCCAATAGAAACCCCAGGCACCAGCCTCAGTGTACCCGGAACAAGCCTCGGACAGCTCCCTGAGGGACTGCTGCCACCAACAGTGTCCTGTGTTTGTGTGCCACTTACCCAAACTCCTACAATGATGTCCCCTAAAACGTGTACCCTCTGGAACCTGTAATTTCGGTCAATGAATCCTACAGCCATGGACTGTTTTGTGGAATGTTTACCTTCTGTCCTTAAGTAAAACCTGATGTCCTTTTCCTGATGACAAGGACTCTCCTTTACCCCTCAGGTGGAGTCTCCCCTCCCCCAATTCCCACACACTCACTGGTCCTCCCACGACAGAAGCCAACACTGTCTGTAGTCAAGGACTCCACTCATGTTACAACTCCTCTTGTGAGACTTCTACCATTAAGCCTGAAAACCTTCTCTGCTGTCATCTACCAGCCTCCCACTGGCTCGCCCCTCACCAAGTAACTCTGGGGGACAGTCTTTCTCCCCATGCAAACCCTGCCACTGCCCTAGGGGTGTCTACTAGTTGTTCAGTATGCCGGCTCCTCTGTTTCTCAGCTCCCTCATTTCCCCACAAACTTTGCCTCTGCTTGATGTTAACCCCCAGGGTCAGGGTCAGAGCCTGGGTATCATTGTCATTTCTGAGCTAATCAACTCCCACTTTCCAGCTTATTCCCACAGGTGTACTCCCAGACTTGTTCAGCTGAATCAGCCCTTCATCCTTTGATCACTTCTCATGTATGTAAACACCTCCATCTTTACTTCCTTTAACAAATCCAGCATTTTGATCCCTTACTTTAACTTCTTTGCCAGTCCCCTCAATAATCCTGTCGCAGTAGCCTACAAAAACCCCAAAGCCTGATCAGTACACTGGCTTGATATTCCTAGAATCACACCAGGCTGCTAAACAGTGGGAGAACAAAACTAACAGAACCCTGTAGATTCCCAGCACCTTAAACTCCGGATCTCCTACTTCCGCGAGCCTCTAGACACTGCCTGGAAATCCTTTTTAGAATACCCTCTTCAAGGGGCTCTCCTACAGTCCACAGCAGCGACTTCAAGTCACGACTCTTCTCAAGCCTCTTCCCCAAATACCTCCCCTTAGCAAAGGGCCTCCGTCTCTTAGCTTCACAATGAGGGGTAAAGTTTTCATGGAATTCCCTGGGCTTCCTGGAGCCAAATGTACCACCGTACCCCCATCTACAGGCGTTCTTCCATCCTTCCCTCCGTAGGCCTAGACTAACCCAGACCTTGTGCCCTGGACTCCACCCCTTTCTGCTTCTGAGGCACTTTTCTCCTTTATATTCTGCCTCTCCCTCCTCACTGATGAGTAAGGAGGAAGTAAACACTTGGGTCTCTTCTTACAATCAAGAGCAACAAAAGCCCTCTGATGGCATCCTCCCTACCAGCTACCGTGCTCCTCACTCTTCCTTCCCTGCTCTGCCTTCACTTACTTTTTCCACCCCATTTACTCCTGTCAGCCCCCACTACCCTTGGCAGACTAGGGTCATCTCCCACCTTGTCATTCAAATGGTCCTCCAGTTTTGATCCACAAATGCTATCACCAAGTGACAGGGACGCTTTTTAGCTATCACAACACTGGGTCACTGCATATAGCATTGGATAGTATGGCCCACAGGCCTTCCCGGCTGCCACAGCCCTGCACTCTGTAGGGTTTCTCGTTGCCCCGACACTTCTTTAAGGATCCTTTGGAAGCTCCACTGTCCAATTAGTCCTTCATTATTGGCATCTCCAATAATGGCATCTCCTGGCCCTCTTCCACTGCTTTCATTTTTTCTGTGGTATGGCCTTCAAAATCCATATTCCATCTCTTTACAAGACACCTCCATTTGGATGATGCAAAATACTTTGTGCTCAAAAGGCACAAAACTGAGGGGTGCCTGGGTGGCTCAGTCGGTTAAGCATCCAACTTTAGCTCAGTCATGATCTCGCACTTCATTGGTTCAAACCCCACGTCAGGCTCTATGCTGACAGCTTGGAGCCTAGAGCCTGCTTCGGATTCTACATCCCTTTCCCTCTGCCCCTCCCCCACTCATGCTCTGTGTGTCTTTCTCAAAAATAAACATTTAAAGAAATTAAAAAAAAAAAAAAAGCACAAAGCTGAACTTACCCTGTTATATGTATACAGTTGACCCTTGACAACACTGGCTTTGAACTGTGTGGGTCCACGCACATATGGAGTCTAGTTGATGAAACACTTTAAATGTATTTTCCTCATGATTTTAACATTTTTTATCCAGCTTACTTTTTTATAAAAAATATAGCACATCATACACACAACATATGTGTAAACCGAGTTACCAGCAGGGCTTCTTCCTGGTCAACAGCAGGCTGTTAGCAGTTAAGATGGGGGGGGGGGGTGTCAAAAGTTCTACAGGATTTTTTTTTTTTTTTTTTTACTGTGCAGGGGATCGGTGCCCTTTCACCCTGCATTCTTCAAGAGTCGACTTTACACAGTCACTGAAACTATCTCTACCCCTTCCCACGTGTGTTTTCACAATGAATTGCCATTATTCACCTTGTTTCTCAGGTCATAATCAAGCAAAACTCTTGCCCCCTTTCTCCTTTTCACACCCACATTCAGGGTGCCCTACCAATTCCATCCCCTAAATGTTAATTATATCTGTGTGTTGCCATTCACATTGCTTTCACCCCCAGCGAACCCCTAACAGCTAACATGAACTGAACTGGTCTCCTCACATCTGAGGTTTCCAAGAAATCAGAATTTCCAAAATCCTACATGATTCTTAAAATACTTCATTCTTTATTAGTAAAAAGTAGTAAAGAGTAGTAGTAAAGTTAGCAGTAAAGAGTATCTTTTTTTTTAATTTTTTTAATCTTCATTTTTGAGAGAGAGAGAGAGACTGCAAGCAGGGGAGGAAAAGAGAGAGGGAGACACAGAATCCGAAGCAGGCTCCGGAACCAATGCGGGGCTCGAACCCACGAACCGTGAGATCATGACCTGAGCTGATGTCGGAGGTTTAACCGACTGTGCCATCTAGGTGTCCCAAGAGTATCTTTTTACTACTTACCACGGATATCCAAACAATTTTGTTCAACAAATAAGAAATGTCAAATTGAGGAGTATTTACAAAGGACTGTACCCTACATAGAATACTGAAACACTGGGAAACACCAGCAGATACTATGGTAACATTCACATAACTTCACATTCAGAATTTCCAGCAAAGCAACAGGACACCACTACAGAATCACGTGTAGACATGGACAACATATGTTTTTATTTCGAAAGACCCTGTTTTGACCTCACTTTGCACTTAACTGATTACGTTCTTCTCATCAGCTTATCTTGTAACTCACGCAGAAGACCCAGCAGGCAAAGCATCCTGGAATGGGTACCAAAACCAGCCCCTCGAGCAAGGGGGACTGCCCAGACATGCCCATGCAATGCAGGACTGATCCCAAGACAATCCCACCTGACCTTTATTCTTTACTGCCCACCGGCACACACCCACCACCCTTTGTTCCACGTTTTCCTCATTCAAACCTAGAAGTATTTTCAGCACTTTGGAGATAGCCTTTGGGACACTAGCCTGTCTCCTGGTGTTGGCCTCCTGGAAACAAATCCCTTTCTTGTTTTACCACCACTCGTCTCCCTCTTTGGATTTTGTCAGAAGTGAGCGCCTGAACCCCCCCGAACCACGGGCTCTGGCACCCTTGGGCCTCGGTTACAACTTTGCTTCCAGAACTTATTTCTTAGAACACTGTTAGAGTAGGCAGTTAGCTAGGTTCTAACAGGATACCTGTAGGCCAGCTGAGAGAAATCATGGGCGGCTATCAGGAAAGTCAGAGGCCTGTTCTGGCAGCACTCCACAAGACGCTGGGTCAAACCACACAGACCCAAGGAGGCAGGAGCCCTGACCAGAAACCTAAGACCAAATACGGAAGAAAAGGCGCAAAACTCTGCTTATTAGAATCCTCGCCGGAGTACTGAATGTTCCACCTCCTAGTTAACAACTGTCAATGACAGATAGAAACCCCGCCCCCAGGGCAGGCACCTCCCTCCCGGCCCTCCCACCCTCTAGCTCACCACTCTCACATCTCCAGACTATCTTTTTTGCTTTAATAAGCTTTCCCGCTTTTGTAGCTCATCTGCTGTGTTACATATCTGTCCTTGAATTCCGTGACACCTTTTGGGATGGGCTGTGTTGAGATCCCAGAGCCAGGGGCTCCCCAGTTCACCCAGCAATAACACCACTCAGAATTTACATAAAGTATACTGTGCATATAAACATTAATTTTTGCAAGAAAGTCTCACCATTAGCAATAGACAGGACTGTAAACACACAACAGCTATAAGGAAAACAGATTAGATCCTTTGTACCCCTATCCTAGAAAGACTGGCCTTAACCTTCAGCTGCAGGCCATTGTTTCCTTCTGTCACTTTCAACTTGACATCGGTAATTCCTTCTAACCAATAACATCTCTATGTTGATTGTTAAGCTTTAATTCTTAAAGAATTATAGTACATTTTACCATTTTCTCAATGTCTCAGGGTTTGGAAAAACAAATCAGATAGCAAAGAAATCCTAGAAATGCCTGGTGCAAGGCTATCCCCACGGGGAAACACTACTCACATCCAGTCCCCTGGCCCCCATTCACTTCTACTGGTGAACTGCACATCACCTGGTAGGTCATCTTCTACATAAATCCTTTAAACTGCCCTTAAGACAAAGTCTGATTGACAGGAATAATGATGAAATTTTGAAGAAGCATTCACATCTATTTCACAGTTTTACATTTCCCATTAGATGACTTTCCACCAAGTAGCCTGGATATATAGATAAGGATGGAAAGGGTAGATAAAGGGTCATTAGGATTATCAAATGCCAGGAATGTTTCTGGCATTCAAAATAGAATCCCAAGATAAAGATTAAGAACTAGTCTTTGCTGAAGGACCATGAGGATTTTTACAATTCCTTTAGCATACCAAAAACAACTATTTTCTGGACAACTCAGATCATAGTTTTCTCTCCACTGCAAATATAATAATCCTTCCCCAACATGGATGAAGACATAAGGTTTGTTGCTCTAGGACAGAAGAATGTGACCCAGCAGAATAAAATATGCATCGGGGACAGAGGACTGTGAGAAAGGCACAAATGAAGAGACATGGTGCTCCTGTTCATGAGCCCAGAAAGCGAGATAAATCAAGGATACACCAAGAACAAGCAAGTGGCATCTGGGATGACAGAGAAAGATATCCTAGCAACCACCTATCCCAGCACCCACCTGCAAGGTGGCCACAAAGTAACAGTCACGGAGCACCACTTGTATGACACACAGAGAGACACGAGTTTGAGTTTGTCCCAAGGGTCAGCTACAAATGCTTCAGGAGCACTGGGAAGACAAGGGTCACTGAGGAATCAAAGGACACACACAACAAGGCTCATCTTTATTTTTAAACACCAGCTTGGGGGAGACAGGGCAAAGAGAGTTGAGAGGCTCTGGAAGACCAATCATTTATCAAAAAGCTACAAGATCGAGAAACCAAAAGATTATTATTTATTTAGTCCTCCATACTCCAAGAAGGAGAAGGTGCTTGTTGAAATATCAGAGCCATTTTAGAAGATAAATTTTCTCTGCACACCTGAGCATAATACATACAACCTTGCCACAGGTGCATTAGGATTTGGCTGCTATTTACCTTCCCTCACCCTTCCTGCCTGCAGGCCCTTGCCACCTGGACTGCCTCTCACCTCAGGACCTTGGCACATGCTGTATCTTCTCCCTTGAACACTTTTCTTCTCTATTTTCACCTGGTTAAGTTCTACACACTCTTTATAGATCACCTTAGAATCATTTCCTCTAAGAAGCTAATCCTTCTAGGTCCAGTTACAGGTCTCTCCTATGGGATCCCATGACACCCTGGGGTTCCATATTCTGGTACATATTTTTTTTTTTCAACGTTTATTTATTTTTGGGACAGAGAGAGACAGAGCATGAATGGGGGAGGGGCAGAGAGAGAGGGAGACACAGAATCGGAAACAGGCTCCAGGCTCTGAGCCATCAGCCCAGAGCCTGACGCGGGGCTCGAACTCACGGACTGCGAGATCGTGACCTGGCTGAAGTCGGCCGCTAAACCGACTGCGCCACCCAGGCGCCCCTCTGGTACATATTTTGAAGTGTAGACTAGTCTATTAATCCTCTACACTAGTCTCAATGAGGCCAGGGATCCTGCCTAACACCACCTGCAAGGTACTTCACAGGACTCTGGGCATACACTGAACACTCAAACTGGTTGATTTAACCATAACACCCTATCATAGCGTGCATCTTGTAGGCTCAGGGTCACTCTTGTAGCTGATAAAATTGTCAGAGACCCTAAACCTTAAGACTAGATCTCAATTTCTCGGACTTAGAACTACGAGGTACTACTAGGTAAAACTACTCTTTTACCTACTCTTATGAAGACTCTTTCTAGAAAAAGATCTGGGAATTTATTTCTAGCAAGACCAAAAAGATTAGTGCTAAATAAATGACAGAGTTGTGCATACTCACAAGAAAAAGCTAAAAAAACTCACTCAAAGCTTACCTTTGCAATTAATGTCAGCAATTACTTGATTTCTTTCCATGGTTTCTAATAACTGTCGAACTTCTTTAGCATTGCCATTTCTGGCATGATGGAGAAGCTCCTGTTCTGCTTCAGTATTCATTTCTAGATTTAAAAATAATAATATTACTACTGAGTAATAGAATTACCTTTCATATACTATCTGCTGATACAAAAAAAAATTCACTTTACAAGTAATAAGAACGATGTAAGAACTAAGTGAATCAGTTGCAGGGCCAGAACTTGACCTTCAGACTCCTTATCCTTTTTATTATTATTGAAAAAGTGCACTAAACATTTGGGCAAGTTTCTTAATCTCTCAAAGCCTCAGTTTCCTTATCTGCAAAATAACCAACCTCATGAGCTGTTATATCATATTTGACAGAATGCTCTTAAAGGTATGAAATATTTTGCAAATGGTTAACGCAAACATTATAACTAGATATAAAATTAAAATGTGGTCATTACAATAAAAATATCATAAGGCTGAAACATTAACACATTTAAAACTTGTGCAAAACATCCTGAATAGGAAAAAATCAAATTACAGATAAAAATCCTGGAGTGACCATACTTACAATTCCTTTATTTCCTCTTTCATATTTTACTAAGCTTCAAAATAAATATAGAGCACTACAACCAAATTTAAGCCATTTGTCAAAATAAGTAGCAATTCACAAAATATAAATTTCTTTCTTACTAATAAATGCAAATAAAACAATTTTTTGCCTACAAGATTAAATAAAAAATATTATACACCTGAAACTAATGCAACATTGCATGTCAACTATAATTCAATTAAAAAAAAAAAAAAGATGAAACATGCCTAATACTGTCATGGACAGGATGGAAGCACCACTTGTCAATATCAAGTAAATTTCAAAATACACATACACTTGGGGGAAGACTCTACTAAAATGACTAGAGTATGGAAACACCAGCAATCTGTCTGTCTCCCCACCTAGATAACAACTGTACTGGCAGAATCTGCGTGATGTAATGGTTTTGGAACTCTAGGATCTTCTGAAGGCTTACAACCACCAGGGAAAGCTTGGAAGGGAACTGTGGTTAATTTATGTCAATTTAAGCTCTTAGCAAGGTAGCAGCTACCCATCTCCACCCCAAAATTCCCCCAGTGCATGCATTCCTGGAATGGCTTACAGGAACCAGGGTGAACAAAAAGATCCCCGTACTCCAAATATTGGAGAGCTGAGCTCTGATCACTGCTGCTTCTGATCAGAGATGCAGACAAGGAAGCAAGCAGACACACTTGTTGCATGCACCATCTCTCACTGCTTTAAGCCCCTCCAGCAGACTGAACTTCCAGGAGATTTAAAGGACCAGCATTCATTTTTGCCCCCCCACCCCCCCCCCCCGCACCCGCCTTCATTTCTCCATTCTTCCCCCCACTCCCCCCGCCCCCACGTAAGAGCCAGACACTAAAGACTAGGACTGAAAAACAACAGCATTTATGGAGAAAATTAAAACATGACTGCTCACGACCACCAAAAGAAGACCTTAAGTTTACAGCTAAGGCTGACCTCAGCACAGCCTACAATAATCCAAGAAAAATAACAACATATTAGAAAACTCGAGGAAGGAGGAGAATTTGCTATCTAGAGTTAGTACGTTAGATTCAAATGTCCAGTTTTCAATAATTAAAAAAGTTACAGGACATACAAAGAAACAGAAAAGTAGAGCCCAAAGGGAAAAACAAATCAATAGAAACGGTCCCTGAAGATCTGATGGCAAATATACTAGACAAAGGCATCAAAAAGATATTCAAAGACCTAAAGGAAGAGATGGTGGAAGACAAAATGCATAAACGAAATGAAAATATGAATAAAGACCAAAAAAAACTAAAAAGAAAGACGAAATTCTTTAACTGAAAAGTACAATAACAAAAAATTCACTTGAGAGATTCAAAAGCTTATTTGTATAGGCAGAACACTAAGAAAACTTGAAAGATAGGACACAGAAATTACTGAGTCTGGGGAACAGAAAGAAAAAAGACTGAAAACCAAACATAGCTTAAGAGACCTGTAGGACACCAACAGATCAACATGCATCATGAAAGTCTTAGAAGTGAGAGAACGAGGGTTGAGCAATTGGAGAAATAGCAGCTGAATACTTCCCAAATTTGAGGAAAAAACATGAATATAAACATCCAAGAAGGTCAATGAACTCTAAGGGGAACTCAAAGAGATATGCTACATAATCCAACTTTCAAAACAGAAAATCTTGATAGCAGGAAAGAAGCTAAATCATCACATACAAGGGATCCAGGGTAGGAAGACTGGTAGATTTCCCATCAGAAACTTTGGAGGACAGAGAGCAGTATGCAAATATATTCAAAGTGCTGAAAGAAAAACTATCCTGTATCTGGCAAAACTGCCTTTCAAAAGTAAGAGAGAAATTAAGACATCCCAGAAAAATAAAAGCCGGGGCAGTTCATTACCACTAGACCTGCCTTTCAAGAAATGCTCAACAGAGTCTTACAAGGTAAAATAAAAGCACCCTAGACAGTAACTCAAAGCTATGTGGAGAAATAAACATCTTGATAAAGGCAAACACATGCACAATTACAAAAGCTAGTGTTATTTTAACAATGGTTTACAGTTGTACTTCTTGTTTTCTACATGATTTAAGAGTAACGCATTTAAAGAAAAAAATATTGGATTAAAAATATAATTTTGTCTTCTAACTCCAAATCTTATTTTCTACATAATTTAAGGGACTAACACATTTAAAAGAATTATTTTTGTTTTGGGTACAGAGTGTACAAAGATGTAATTCTGTGACATCAGTAGCCAAAAGGGGTGGGAACAGAGCATAAAGGAGCAAGGTGTGTGTGTGTGTGTGTGTGTGTGTGTGTGTGTGTGTGTGTGTGTGTGTGTTATTTAAGTTAAACTAGTATAAACTCAAATTAGTGTTATAACTTTAGGATGATAAATGTAATCTCCATGGTAACCCTAATCCCCCCAAAATAACTACAGAATCTACAGAAAGGAGAATACTTTAAATATTTCAGTATTTAAAAAAATGAAATTTCAACGAATTCTAAATAGCCAAAACAATCTTCAAAAAGGAGGCAATGCTAGAGGACTTACGCTTCTGGATTTCAAAACTTGTAACAAAGCTAACGTCATCAAACACTGTGGTACTAGCATAAAGACAGACATACAGAACAATGGAATAGAACAGGGAAGCCAAATAAACCCTTGTGTATATGGTCAATGATTCTTTACAAGACTGACGACATGATTCAACAGTCTTGTCAACAAATGGTGCTGGGAAAACTGAAAATCCACATGGAAAAGAACAAAGTTGAACTTTTACCTAACATCATATTTAAAAACTAATTCAGGGGCGCCTGGGTGGCGCAGTCGGTTAAGCGTCCGACTTCAGCCAGGTCACGATCTTGCGGTCCGTGAGTTCGAGCCCCGCATCAGGCTCTGGGCTGATGGCTCAGAGCCTGGAGCCTGTTTCCGATTCTGTGTCTCCCTCTCTCTCTGCCCCTCCCCCGTTCATGCTCTGTCTCTCTCTCTGTCCCAAAAATAAATAAAAAACGTTGAAAAAAAAATTAAAAAAAAAAAAACTAATTCAAATTGGATCAAAGATCTAAATGCGAAACATAAAACAATGAAAGTCTTAGAAGAAAACACAGGGCAAATGCTTCATGACATTGGTTTGGCAATGATTTCTTGAATAGAACAAAGGCATGGGTAACAAAAGAAAAAATAGACAAAGTGGACATTATAAGAATTTTTAAATTCTGTGCATCAAAAGCCACTAGCAGAGTTAAAACACAAACCACAAGATCAGAGAAAATATTTGCAAATCATATCTGATAAGGGATTAATAACCAAAATACAGAGAGAACTCCTAAAACTCAAACAAAACCCAGTTCAAAAACAAAGTACTTGAATAGACATTTCTACAAATATACACATGGCCAATAAGGACATGAAAAGTTGTTTCCCATTACTGATCATTAGGAAAAGGCAAATCAAAACTACAATGAGCTACCATCTCACACCCAATAAGAAGACTACTATGGGGAACAAACAAACAAACAGAAAACAAGTGTTGTCAAGGATGTGGAGAAATTAGAATCCTGTGCACTGTTGGCAGGAATGTAAAATGGTACAGCCACTGTGTAAAACAGATTAGCAATTCCTCAAAAAATTAAAACCAGAACTACCCTATAATCTGGCAATTCCACTTCTGGGTATACACCCAAAAGAACTGAAAGTGGGGGTCTCAAAGAGGTATTTGTACATCTGTGTTCAGAGCTGCATTACTCATAATAGCTAAAACATGGAAGCTATACAAGTGTCCACCAGGAGATGAACAGTTAAGCAAAATGTGGTATATAGGTACAATGGAGTATGTTTCAATCTTTAAAAAGACGTTTTTGCAATATGCTACATGAATGAACCATGAGGACATTATGCTAAGGGAAATAAGCCAGTCACAGAAAGACAAATACTGTATGATTCCACTTTTATGAAGTACTTTGAGCACAGTAGTCAAAAGAGAAAGAAAACGGAATGGTAGTGGCCAAGGGCTTGGGGGAGAGGAGAATGGGGATTTATTGGGTACAGAGTTTCAGTTTTATAAGAAAAGTTCTCACGATGGATGATGGTGATGGTAGCACATATTATTTATGTATTTAATACCACAAACATTTTTAAGATGGTAAATTATATCTTATGCATATTTTACAATTTAAAAAATATTTTAAAAAATACACATACACCATTTCCTTTCCCAGGGCAATTCTACTCCTAGGAATCTATGCTATAGAAATACAGAAGATTATTTCATAAGCACATTCATAAGGATTGCTTTATTTACAGTAGTGAAAAAGGTATTAAGAAGTCCATGTCCATCAATAGGCAACTGGTTAAATAAATCCTCTAAGGCTAAAAGAAATGCTCTACAGACAAGAGGATGGAAGACCGTCGGAGGACGGTTTCAAAAAGTAGCAGCCTATGTACAGTGAACAGCATGACTTCCAGCTCTTTCTTAATCAGCATTCCTAATGCTGACAAGCCAGGCTCCACCCACTGGGAGGAGACTAAGCTGGTGACAGTCCCTAA